TTATGATGGTTTATGTTAGGAAGATCAATTATATGGTCCAAGTAATTGTGATGCTTGTTGCCAAAGACCCCTCCTGTTTTTACATATGTATTTACAAAGAGCTAATGTGTGTGATATTTTTCAGACAGATTGATAAAAATGTGATTAAAACACAAATGTACTTGTTACAACAAGTTTTATTTATCTGTAATGTATCAATCATGAGTGCAAATAAATGTTAATTTGAGTAAGCATTAAGAGACAGGCCTTCACCACCAGCTAGCAGATGTAGCAATCTAATTCATCAGCAGTGTCAATTCTCGATTTAGGTTTTCCTCTGCATGGATGGGAAAATTTAACTTGTGATGCCAATTTTATTATTACAAAAAATTTGTTATTCAGCATGTAAACAAACAAATTAGCAGAGCCAGAATCTCTCCTTTATATTAAAACATCAAAGTGGACTATAAAGGGTACTATTTGATCAAACCTGCGCCTGATCTAATGCAGCATTAAAATTGAAAAATATACAAACCAAGGTTACAAATGCTAGAGACTGACAACAGAAAGAATACATTAATGACAGTTCACAGCATAAGGAATCAAAACAAATTACATTTCCATGATTAACCACTAGCACTTGATAAAATAATGGAGCAAAATGCTAGCAAACTGATTCACATTATACTACTGCAAATTGTTAACTGTACCTGAGTTTCAAAACAAAATTAAATTTCTTTCTTTATAACAGTGGCAGGCTATTTCATATAGATCAATTAAAATGTTCTGCCTCATCAGAACTGTGCCTGATTGTATGAAATCACTGCACTTGGAAGAATGAAATCCCCAAAGGAACAATCTCACACCAAAAATTTTAGGCAATATTCCATCCTGCATTTAATAATCACTGGATTCAGACTTTGAGACATTTTTTGTTCACCATAATCATATTCTAGAACCTAAATCAAATCTTAAGAGTGATTAATTAAAACTGACTCTGTAATTTCTAGTTATAGGATGCCTAACCAGACATAATCTTTATGGGATTTTTCACACTGAAGTGTGGTCATTTAATTTTGCAATGAGAAGTAACTCTTTAAGACCAGATAATTATTTTTTTATGTCATATTTCATTGCTTCCTAATAGACAGATCTAATGCCCTAGGGACTTTGATGCATATTAGGACTGTAATTTTTTTCTTCTAGACTGAGGTATCACTACTCTCTACAACACAGTCCTATGACTAATATCTCAATGTTTTGTAACTGCTTTTTCATTAATAAAAATGTAATCAGCAACTATACAAACATTTGTGCTATAAAGCACAAATTAAAAATATCAGAATTATTATATGTATTTACAGTGTTTTGTATTAAAGCACTATTAAAACAAATTATTATTAAACCTAACAGAAAAATTGCAGGTGTAGTACAAAGCTTACAACTCAATAATGTAATAAACACTTCACAGAGTCCAGCATGTTCAAGATCTCGAGATGACGAAGCTTAAAATCCATTAAGGAAGGACAATTCTGGAGAACTTGGCAATATGAAATTGAACCAAAATGCATTTTCTTTTAGATGCTTTTTCTTACTCACCAACAGCGCCAGGTCATGACTCTCAGAAAATAAAGGACATGGAGAATTCAAACGATAGCCTAGCAATGATGATACCTCCTAAAATGTGCTCCTTCTATCACTGTCCAGAACATCTTTATATTAATTTAATACTGCTGCTTTAGCTGCAGAGCCTGGTATCTCAGTAGAAAAATGCATTAAAAACCCACTTTTTCTGCTGTAGGTGAGGTATACAGTTATTTTGCTCAACAGCTATGCTTTTCCAGAATCCCACTAATAGTCCCATGGAGAACTATATACTCTAGTTAAGAGAGAATGCTGACACATCTACTCTTTGGGGGTGAAAAAAAAACAAACCACCAACACACACAAACCACAAAAAACCCACAAGGTTTCACAGAATTCAATAATTCACAGATACATATATGAACAGAACCTTTTTGCCATAATGTCCAGATATCAAAAAAATATTCTTGAATGTACTGTAATCCACGGCCTCATGTTCTATGTTGAAAATTATGACATTGCCACAGGCAAAAAAGCCCTCCGAAAATAAGCATAGTCTTTTTGCAACCTATTGTATAGCTATACCCAAAAAGGTTAACATCAACGCAGCACGTCATACTGGTGTTTACAAACTGTTGACAAATGGTGTTGGCAAATTTCCTTGAGCAAATCTACTTGAACAAATTTCTTCCCTTAGAGATAATTGCTTTGTTTTGGATCAAAATGTTTCCCATACTAAATTGTACCCAGCCTGAGCAAACAGGTTACTTAAATATGCTGCCTTCTCAATAAAAATGTGCTCTTTCTGTGAAATTAATTGTATCTATCTCATTCAGCTCATTACATTTATTAGAAAAAACAGGGTTGGGGGCTTTTGTTTGTGATTTTTTTTGTGGGGGAGGGGTGGGGTGTGTTACATCAGCAGAAGAGAGGAATGGCGTTTATTCTGATTTGTACATCACTGGTAGAACCTATTAAATGGGGTTGTGAATTTGACACTTTTCCTATGCAGGTTGTCATACCCAGGCCTTTTTTTAATAAACAAAAATATGAGATCTAAATTCTATTACGCATTTATAGAAGATATGAGATTAACAATCAGAAAGCACAGTAATTGTTTAGGGCTGGGGAATAAGAAGAAATTTGTTTTCCCTTCCTGTTTTTAATACAAGTGGCTAAGAGATTATAAATTAACTATACTATTTCTCAAAGTAGAATACAAAGATCCTGTAATAAAGTATTTCTGTAATAACAGTGTATTAAGATGAAAAAATCACCTGAAAAGTAGTATCAGTGGATTCACAACAGTACTGTATTATCTTATGAACTCACAGTATCTTCACTGTTGAACTGTACAATTAATGATAGATTTAAAAAAATATATGTGAAATTCTAATAATTGAAATTAAATAAAAATCCAAAACCAAAACAATTTTGGTTAAAGCATAAAAATAATGCATGACAGTTCAAGTAATGAACTGCTGCTATGAACGCATTTTCTACTGATTAAGGCCAAAGCTTCAAATTAGAGAATCCACAGTATTTCCTAATCTAATAGTTTCTGGTTGAGACTGTTGTCCACTTTTGACATATTAAAATATTAGTTGCGTTACTATCTTTATGACCACTTGCACTGCTGAGGTAAGGATAATTACTACAGCAACTCAATGTACACCTGAAACCACCATCATCATTTATTAAAATATTTTAAACCCCACAAAGCTTGAAACTGAATTTCTTTCATAAGCAAACTGGTTGAGGAAGAAAAACTAGCTAGTCTCAACTTACAGATGCTATTCTGCATTACCGCTTGTCTGTGTGGAACTCAGGATAATCGATTGTAACAAGCTAATGCAAAGATGGCACCTTAAATTACGCTGTTCATAATTTATATTCCTGCTCTACATTTAAAGCAGCAAGTTATGAAATGTTGACAAGAAATTATCAGTTCACTACTTCACACACCTATTCTTAACCAGCTTAAAATATAATTGCAAAGGAAGAACAAAAAATCGAGTTGAAAATTCAATTGCAAATGTATTTTCAATTTTCCCTCCTCTTCTTTAAAAAACAAAATTAAGTACAACACAAAGGACAACTTTATTAAAATGACTTAACAAAAAGCCCCCTATGGGCCCCCCTCAACTGGAAGTACTTGAATCCATTTCCATCTTTACAGCCCTTAGTCAAATTCTACAAAATGCGAGAAAAAGGTAAGTCTCTTGAGATGTTTATCCCTACAAACATCATTATGCCATTTATAACACCACCATCAAAATGTCTCATCAAATTGATTTTTACTTTTTCAAATCCAGGAAAAACTGAAAACACATGAATGCTACAAAATACAGCTTGACATTCTTCCATTTATCTATTACATTTTCTAATAAGTACAGCTTTCTTGAAATAAAGCTTCAGCTGGAAAATCTGAAACTCTGCACAAGATCACGTAAATAGCACAGGTAAGTAGGTAATGTATTAATTTTAAATTGGTCTTGATTCCACAAACTGATCCATCCATGGATTCACAGGCATGGATGTACAATCCCTGTGCAGAGGCTTGGGGACAGCCAATTTAATATGAAGGCTTACTATGAATGTGCATTCAATTTATACAAAATTTGTTCAGGGATACTACAGAAAAACTATTATACTGAAAAAGCATTAGAGAAAGAAGTAAGTTAAAACCACTTTAAAGAATAAATTTTCATTAATATTATTTCTTAAATAGTTATTGTTTTTAAATACTGTAAAGAATTATCCTTACAGCAAAATGGAAAGATTTTAACAGGTGATATCCCTTGTATGATTTTATATCAAAAGGTTTGTTTTGAGATTCTGTCTTTGTTTTGGATGGGATCATGGTAAATTTTTCACAGGGAGATTGTGATTTTTTTCACAGTTGACCTTAAACTATTTGTGGACATACTCAATGTTAACTCAATGCATTAGCAGATGGCAAAATTCAGCTAGGAGTTCAACAGCTTGACTTCTTAATTTGGGTAGTAAGTACCCTAACAGTGCTCCACCCTCATCCCCCAAAAGAAATTTGCAAACAAAAATACAAATCCCATACAAACAAAAGCAAAAAAACCTGAAAGACTGAATAAGGGAAAATGAAAACACTTCATGTTTGAAGAGTACATATAAATGCAGATTTAGACGTCACTGATTTTTTTTGAAAGCTTTACACAGTTTCTTAAAGCCAGAATTTAAACAAAAATCACTGTGTATGGCATATATTCCTTTAAATATAACAAAAGCACTTATAATTTGAACAGGAGACTTGTATTTAAAAAAGCACTGTTTCAAAGATTTTTGCAGATGCCAGCATCTCCATATTTATATATATTATAACATATATAAAGGCGCATCTATATTTTAAATTAAATTGAGATGAAAAAGGCTTAATATTTTCTTGACTACTCAACAGATACTTACACAAAAAAGGGCATCAGCTGAATAAGAGTCTCTTTTTTGGGACTGGCTATGAATTCTGGCAGAGTTTGAATAATTTTGTTCATTATGTTCCTTAGGTAATTTTGTAGCTGCTTACGTCGCTCTTCTACAAACTTTGCATCCTAAAAACAGAAAGGAAAACATAAATGGTGCAAAGAGTATGTTTTTCAATTCTGCAATGTAACTAAACAACCTAATAAGAATCATACTTGATCTTCTGATGATCTATGTTTATTATGTCTATAGAAATATGCTGGCAATACGTAAATCACCTTTGGCTCTATCATTCTTAGAGGTAAAGGAAAATCATGCAACCTAAAAAAAAAACTGTTTCACAAAAACATCCACTGACAGGATGCTAAATTCTGTCCTTGGCAGAATGTCTCTTCTACAGATCAAAATTCTTTTCCTAATTGTAGATCTCCAGAAAATACTATGATCTTAGAAAGGCAGTGCCTAACAGTGGCATAGATGCTGTGGCATAACAATTTATGTGATTATTTTGAGATCCAGAATTACCAGTGTTCACAGGAATAAATACCAACTTATTCCCACAATTTCTTCACAAGTCATACTTTTCAGATGTTGGCTACACAAACTCCAGAATAGATTAGTATTTCTCCAGATGCTTTGTTATGATGTTAATAAATTATTACTTTGTTATAGTTTATATATAATAGATTGCTTTTCTAAAGACTTTACCACAACTCTCACACAAATGTTTTATTGAAGTTCCTATAGAATTTTAGAACTCGGGTTTTTATACTGTACCGGTCCCAAAAAAGAATTCTATAAACTCCATATTCTGCCGAGGGACATACAGATCTAAAGTCTAACAACCATCACAACACCATACATCCTGTAACTTAGCTCTAGCTTAGACTTTTTCCTCAGAGGAATCACAATCACAGTGAACTATAATAAAAAGTCTACAGATTTCACACCAACGTAAGACTATAATAGGCTTACAGTGAAATCAGGTGCTGGCTGGTTTGTGCTACTGCCAGTATGCTGTATTTCAGAAATGCAGGCATTCTGATCACCTGGTTTAAATGTCAGAGTATGTTCTTTAGGCATGAAGCCAAAACTATTAAGACAATTACAGCTCTCAAAGGAAGACTATTATCTCTATCCAGCCTGTAGTATTCATCTGTGCAAGAAAAGCTGTTGAAACAAATTCTTTTTTCTTGGGGGGGGGAGAATACATTTGACAACACTGAATAAATTCATCGTATTAAAAAGGTTCAAGCCATGCTGCCATGCATGGGATGCAAATCTGAAGATTATTCCTTCCTTAGGTGAAACGGTTTCACTCATCAATAAAGCAGGGATGATCTTTTGAATTCAGGAGGACTGCTGTAGAGTTAGTAGAACATTTACTGGCATTTCATTCTGCTCTTATCTTTCATTAGGAGAAGGTACCAGGAACAGTAATATTTTAGGAGATATAAGAAAATGAGAAAAGATTCTGAATAACATTTCTCAAAGTAGTAATTTAAATTCATAGAATTAAAAAAAAAAATCAACCAATGTTAAGGTACATTTGCAAATATTGGCAACCTAACAGGTACACTAAAAATAGCCTCATGTTTTATAATTTAAGGAAGTATTTTCTGTTCATGTATTTTATTTGCATGTGATTACCTAATAAAATGTATTTGTAATTACTGTAACATTTATAATTGCTGAAGAAATTCATACTTACAGGCTTCAAAACCTTAGGCAGTGCTTGTGTTATTTAATTAAATTCACTAATTTCCAAAATACATACATACTAATTTTTGTTTTCCAAATATGAACTTATATGGATGTCCAGCCCTGTTTCACATTCCAGTTTTATATTAATACATGTAATAATCAAGATCAGTGTGAAATTTTTTTAAAACTGTGTATTATATGGTTTGCTATTTCTTTTTTATCAGTCACAGTATTTTTCCGCAACATACACACTACACGCTCCAAGTGTGTGGCAAGTGATTCTGGTGTTAATTGGTTTACTGATAAATGAAGAAATGAAGTCTGAAAACTCGGAGAAACTCATACTTCATCAAAAAACAAAGCTGCATTGTTGACACTTCATGCAATCCACTCTGCAGAGTCACTCACCCAGTACTCCACAACTGAGTACAGTTACTACTCAAACGGAACAGAGCAACAGCTTGCTCCGTGCCCCGCTGCACTGACGAAGTCTGGACAAATGTGTGGAACAGAAGTCTATACAAGCTGTTGGAAAACGTTAAAGCAACAATTTTAATATGTGGTGACACATAATATTAGAATAAAATGGAATGCTAATAATAAGTGTAGTGCAATGCTAATTAACTAATTGACTAACATTATTATTATTATTTTTCCCTGTTTCTCTAAGACTGCCTTTGCTACTGGGTTCTTTGACTAGCTCAGGGAACAGCCTTGTCCTACCAGCTTTTCACTCAAAGGATTTGAAGTACCATGCTGGCAGGTACACTAATCCGTTCCCACCAGCTGCGTGAGGCAGAAGACAAGAAAGCGTGGCACATAGAAGGGTCTCAGAAAAGAAGAAAAAGTTTGTGGAACAGCTTTGGTTCTGAGAGCTTTAAGGACATGAGTAGCAGTGATGTTTGGCACATGAGACCATTCCCAGTATGGAGTAACCCTCTCTCCCGGACTTCAATGACTGTGGGTAATAGAGGAAGGAGGAGCATTGCTTTACTCCCAGTGCAGACACAGCCTCAGTTTAGAGCCATTCCAAAGAACTGGCCTCACCCCCACTACTACTTCCTTGATTCTACTCTCATCTTTTCTATCAATCATGTTTTCAAGCACCCATGGAAATCTCCATTTTTAAAACACCACATACATTAGCACTTTTTCAGTTCTTAAGGGCTTTTTGGTCACAAAACCTTAACAACAGTATTCTCAGTGAAATAATTTCAATTACGTTAAAATTTGCTCTTAAGCAGAAACTGCATTCTTTTAGTATGCCTTCTGTACTGCACATGTATTTAAATACATCTTCTTTCACAGGCAGGACCACTTTGTTATGAACACAGGACCAAAACGCTGAATGCAGGTACTTGCTATCCCTTATGTTATTATAAGAATCTCATTAACTACAGGATAATAACGACATAAAAGGAGTTTTCTAATTAATGTTCTGCCAGAACACGCTTAGGGAATGCATTTTTGCTGTTTACAGCTGATCAAATTAGTGCATATAATATAGCCATTTTCTGCTATCTATTCAAGCGAAATACAAAAGACCTCAGAAATTAAATTCAGCCTGAAAATAGTTAAAATGCTCTTTTAGCCTGATATAAATTTGACCTCTAAAACAAACACTAAGCGATCTATCATGACATTCTCTAACGGGTACTAAGGCCCATTGTCCTTACCAGAAGCAAACCAAGGTCAAAACGATTCAGCAGTAGGTCTCTACCATTAAACATGCATTTTGCAGCTGCAGGTTGGCTACTCAGAGGAATTATTTTACTACATGGTTGTTACTGCCAAGTTGTTGCAGTAATAAAAGAGTTTTTGTCACAAAATAGTAAATGGAATAATTAGTAATAGAAAAACACAATTGGTTCAAAGCCTGGCCATTTTTTTCCAGTCTCATAACAAGGTAACTGTTACCCTCTTTTCACTGGACCCAATTACCCATCACTGAAATCTAGTCAGTATTTTATATTCCAACTCATAAACCATAGTTTTATTTACAAGCAAAAAGCAAAGGGAAATATTTTGATTTGGACTTAGATTTGATACCAGGAAGAAATTCTTCCCGGAGAGGGTGGTGAGGCACTGGAACAGGTTTCCCAGAGAAGCTGTGGATGCCCCATCCCTGGAAGTGTCCAAGGTCAGGCTGGATGAGGCTTGGAGCAACCTGGGCCAGTGGAAGGTGTCCCTGCCCATGGTAGGGGAGTTGGAACTGGATGAGCTTTAAAAGGTCCCTTCCAACCCCAACCATTCTGTGATTTGTATCAGTGAAAAAACCCATACATTTAGTACATATCTTTGGTGATTGTACCATATTGTATGCATCAATAGAAATCTACATTTGCATATCTAGTCACACAGGAAACAGCAAAGATCTTCCCCTAAGATTCAATATACACATTATGCATGCTTCATATGAACATAAACGTAATACGGAGACAAAGTAATTTTGTTAAAATTACAACTACATATACTTTTGCAAAAACTCTTACAATTTCACAGCGTGAAAAGTTAGATTATTGAGTTTCATTTTCAGGAAAATAAATGCATGTATGGGAAGATAAAGTAACAGTACTAAATAAAAGCACACTTTCAAGATCTCACTGAAGAGAGATCCTGCTAACATGGTTGACAAAAGGAGACTTGCTCTCAAAAATACGGATAGGTATTATTAGAAAGAAGATCAAAACACATCTGGGAAAATATTTTTAATCTAAAGTTAATGTCTCCCAAAATATTTTATGAAATTCTTTTTGACTGAGAATTTGCCAAGTTTCTGCCCAAAGCAAAATGCTAATATCACATTACAAATCGCTCAAAATGAGAATACAGAATGGAAATCTTACAGACTCTCAACAGACAGTAGAAGATGATAAGCTATAAAACTAAAAAGCAGAGTCTGAGGTACCATATTTCAGTGTATACTGTTCTGCCAGTTTTCATTGCAAGCAAAGTTCATTGCAACTTGCAGTTTAAATTGTTTCACACAACTGCTGGTCTTTCATATACACTGTTAGTAGGTAACAGATGGCAAAACATTGATATTCTTCATTATTAATGGGACAGCTCACTTAAGATGTTTCAAATACTTTCCATGAGCTATTGGAAATGGTATGATTGCCATGGTTACCTGCCATGATTTAGGGACAGATAAAACACTTCTATGTTCTGGGCTTGGTGCTGTTGCAATCAACATAAAATGCACCACTTCTGATGTTCTAACCATTATTTATCATTTAACTAACCTCCTATTGTTAGCCCCGGAGGGAAGAAAAAACCAAAACCCCAAAGAACAAAAACAGCTCAGGGCTCAATCCAACTCAATTAATATAAAAGAAAATACGGCTTTAGGACTTTAATGAGAGCTGTACTAGCCTCTGATGCCACACAATGCATCCCATCCTAAATAAAGCCAACAACAGTG